ATTAGAAACACAAAGCAGTTTACTGAAACATAGTGATATATTAAGAGTTCAGTTAATTACATGTAAAGAAACAAGACAGACTTCAAAACCTTTACTCAGTTTCTATTTTATTTGCAACTGGGGCATGTTGATGGGACTTTGCCTGCTTAACATTGAGTAGGAGTTTCAGAATTTTAACCTGAGGGTAAAATTTTCAAAAGCATTTAAGCAACTGGCTCACTGAAAATCAATAGGACTTTCACTCCTTAGGGCAACATTTTAGAAAGTATGTAGATACCGAAGTCCAGTTGACTTCAGTGTCTATGTATATGAAAAAACCCTGCTTTATTGCCCTAAATCTCTTTAAAATAGAAGTGTTAGATTTCAATGTCACCTAAGAGTTTCTGAAAATGTTACCCCAAATAAACAAGCTGTTATTCTCATATTTTTTCATTTGTAGGACACTGTTTTGTTTTTCTTTCTTGTTCAACGTATGCAGAAAATCATAAAACATGTTTTGGATAATAATAAGCTACATTGTCTTCAATCTGGTCTCAAAATCTTACTGCAAATGCTCAAGAAGAGGTGACAACTATAATTCGTGCAGACAGTTCTTCACTCTATTGTAAATTTTCCTAGAATTTCAAAATAAACTTAAATATTTTCCCCTTTTCAGTCTATTTAATGTCTTTTTCGATAAAAGTGATAAATTGCCTCCTTTGAAGCCACAGCCTGACCTAAATTATTCTGTCTACATTACGTATAAGAGCAAGCAGAAAAAAATAAAATTGTAATATGAAATCTTAGGGAGATGAAGAAGACATAAATCAAAACAAATTAGTCATTCTCATTAATGAGAATATATGTTATGTTTTCCATTGAATCTCTCAAATGTAATTTACTGAGAAAATTAAAAAGTACCACTTAGTATAGAAAAACCTCAGTATTCAAAAAATCTTTGGTTTGAGAATTTGAGGGGGGGGTATCTTGGTTCTCTAACATGTTTTCTGTATGAGCTTTTAAAACTATGCTAACTTGTTGCACAACAGCTTACAAGTTCTCAACAGTTGCATTTATTACAATTTTACCTCACTTTCAGACAAGTTCTCTTATCATGCTCCAAATCACATTTTATGCTGCTTTGAAGTACATTACTAATATGCTTATTGCTTAACAGAAAATAGCCTTACAGTCAATTCTGTTTTAAGGTGCAAAGTAATAAATGTCAGTTTCTTTTTTGCAGTCATTTATCTGAGCCTGTACTTATTCTCAAAGTATCTCCCTTTGAAAACAAGTCAGAAGTGCAATGCTCTAATGGTCTTCTCTTTGGGACTAACAATAAAAATATAAAAATGAACTTTGAACCGTTCTTTCTGTGCATCCTTCATTCTAATTCTGGCCTTTTCCTGTTATTATTAAAACTGGGCAGGCCCAAGTTTTATGAAAAATTGGGAATTCCTTCTTATTTTGTGCATGTACACAGTGATCACGTGGGTTGCAAAGACAAGGGTCTCTGGCAGTCATTTGTACTTGTCAGTGCATACCCTTTTATTCCCTGTGGCTGTTTTGTGCTGCTAGACAGGTGTGTGCACTCCGCACAAAACTTTGCCCTTTGGACATCATTATAGTGTCTAAGAAACATGGAGGATGGGATCCTGAGAGACTTATAAAAGACCATGAAGAAGGGCATTCTCTTTTGGGATCTTTACAGAACATAGGCCTTCTATTATTCTGCATCCATTGAGAAGTGTGTTTTTTTCCATCACAGAAAATGAAGAAAGCAAGATTTAAGGTGTGGATAACTGGATACCATTCTCTCTGAAGAGTGAACAAGAAGCAGTGAAGTTGAAAAAAGCATGTAGATAAATGTAGCACTTTATCCCTGGGTACATGTACAAACATTTAAATTAATCTGGTTAACGGGTTTCTTCCCTGCGCCTTCCGCACCGTCACCTTTCAAGGACCTGACTAAACAATGGCCTTTACACCATGCCAAGCAGCAGAACGGAGCTCTTGTGGATCCTTAGCAGCAGTGAAATCCAGTCTCCTGGGCCCTTCACGCTGAGCATTCAACCTCTCCAGACACTCAGGTATAGTCAGTATGCCCTGGCTGATCTTAAGCACCATAATGGAAGATAAAGGAGAGAGAATTTATTGCCTAGGACTCAAAGCATATAGGGTTTTATAGATCAGTAAGAACATCCTGACTTATGCCCAGAGGCAAAAAGGAAGCCAGTACAGACTTCAAAGACCTTGTGTAATATATTCCTTATGGCCAATATTAGAGATTAAGCACAGAGCAATGTTTTACACAAGCCATTGAATCTGACTAAATAAGGACAGACTATACATAGCATAAGTCTATTTTGGAGGCTACAAAGGTAACTTAGAGCCTTTACCTTTGAGAACTTATCACAATCATCTAAATAATGATAGCAAAAAATACTTTAAGTCTAGGAACCCATTCTGAGCTAAGCATTAAGAAACACCTTTTGATTGTGAGGTTCACTCAGGAAGAATAACCAAATTTGACTGACCAGCATCCCTTCCCCTCATGCGACTTCTAATCTCTCTCAGGAACTCAGAAAAAGTGAAAGACTGCAAGCTCTAGGTTTGACAAAAGAAAGTATAAATCAAATTAACTGACAAACTCCTCAGAAGCCTGCTTACCTTTCAAAGCAGGGAGACTGACAGTACTGACCAAGGAACTGAAATAATGAAATTTTCATACAATATTTGTAACAAGTGGAAAATACAAATAAAATTAAAATAATGGCTAGTCTGTATCTAGTGCACAGAAAAATGAGGTAATCTGTATTGTCTTTCCTGTGGCAAATTCAGGGCCAGACTTCTCCTTTACAAAGTCTGTAAGAGGCTTGTCTTGAGGTCTTCCTTCTCTAAGTGACAAGACCAAGAGAAGTATGTGACAAACTTAATGGTTTCATATAGCCCAAATTTGAAAGCATGATTTTTAGCTTTCATCGAAAGCTGAAAAGGTTGAGGTTTACCAAGCTCCTTGCAGACCCAGTCCTATAGCCACTCTAAGGACCAACAGTTTTTCCTGTGAGAAGATTGTATGCCTTATTTCAAAGAAAACAGCTTTCAAGGAAACTTCTGACTTTCCCAAGTCTCATCTAATGTGCGAAAATCTTTCTACTACGAAAAGGTCCCCTGACTGGTATCCATAGGTACCGCTTTTAATTATATTGGCTCAGTTCAGCGCAGAGACTATCCTGCAGGGAAGGTGAGATGCGTGAAGATCTGTATGATCTGTGAATATGAGAGAAAATAAAGTAGGACTTGAACATAGACAAAGTAGACCTTTGGTTAGCTGCTGTTGAAGAAAAATAATGCTCGAATATTAATGGTCTGTAATGTACACATCTTCTTTGATAATTTGCTTAAGGAAAATTTCACTTTCTCCTTTTTTTTAAAGGGAAGGTAGAATGCACATCTTTGCTTTTGTGGTTAAATAAGACGTTCCATGAGAGTGGAACTTGGAGCTTTGTCAGGGGTTACCAGTGATCCCACTCCTCCATACATTGCTGAAAGATCTCACTCTGCCTTGCAACATTCTTGTTATTCCAGAACTGGGTTGGGCTAGTCATAATAGATGCAGGCAATCAACTCAACTTCCCCCCACACAGCTCTACCAGTAAAACTCACTTCACCTTGCAACACTCCTGTTTTTCCTGTGTCTTTTAAGCAAAGGCTATCAATTTGGCACTTACTGTGGATCTGTCCTTACTCCCACTGAAATCCAGGGTAACTTTCTTAGTGATACAAGAGGAAAGTGCTGATGATACAGACAAATGTCTGCTTGTGACTAGGATGAAACAAAGTTGTCTTCTCTGAATGACTGAGATTTTGACCCTGACAGTAGAGGTAACTGAACTGTGTTCCACTTCTGCTTTTATTACAGCAAATAAAATCCAGGACAACTCTATAGATATCAACTCTGTTACAAAGAGTGTGAGATTAGAGTCTAACCTTTACATAATGTGGCCTCCTGCATGGTTGTGCTTTTTCCCAAGAAAAAGGTTTCCTTTTAATTAGAACACTATAGCTTTCAGTGTTGATCACTGTTGTTTTATTTACAATGAAAATCTATAGAGCATTCACCATGATTCAGACAAGCATTGGCCTACTGACAGCATCTCAATTTACACTAGTGTTTGGATTTGGGCCATGTAATTGTATGTAAAATCAAATAAGTGTGTGACACAGTAAAATAGTATGTCAAAATAAGGACTATTCTTTCCTCTTTGTTTTCTTTATCATATGAAAGAATACATTAAAAATATAAGAATGCTCTAGGCAATGTACAAACCTAAAAAAGACTAGTCTGGTGAATGAGCATAGTGAGAGGCTATGAATATGGATATGTTTGTACTAAGGAGCCTAGAGGAGATGCTTTTTATGCGTGGTGATACAGAAATACATACTTGTAACTCTGCACACCAGGGAGAGAATATTCCCCTAAAACAAGTAGTTTCTCTAGCAGTGCTCCTTGTTGATCAAAGCTGCATAATTTAAAGCATCTAGAGGCAGCTTTAAATTATTCACAATATTTTTTTTTCAGTGGTCTTGATATATAGAAGAGAGCATTTGTGTAACTACCAGTCTTCTGTAAGTTCTATAAACTTTTGCATCCTTACAGAGCTGGCAAGTTTTCTAGAAGTCACATTCGAGAAGAGGGGACATAACTTTGCAACAGGAGCAAGATTCTGACACCATGTTAGTCACATCACACAAAAATGCCAGGCATGCAGGGCCATACGGAATGGCAGGGCAGAACCGGCAGCCTCTAGATCTCAGCCCGAATGCTGCTGTGTGGTGCCTACGAGTTTTCTGATACCCTCAAAAGCCCCAAATAGGAATCCTGCAATTAGTGCATCTAACTCCTCCTTTACTGCAGTCTTCTCTCCTATTGGTAAAAGGTCTTTACAGGCTCATGTAGGGATCCCACCCCTTTTGTGGGTTTTCATTCTGAAGCTATCCACAACTTTACACCTGAATGAATGCCAAGCCTCTCTGAATATATAAAGGAAACCTTCAAGAGCAATTTCAGAGTTACCCAGAAGAAGCAGAAGAGAAAGATTTCATCCAGCTCTGTCAGACAGAGACTTGAACCAACCATCCTTCCCCCTGCCATTCACTTCTATGGCTTTCTCCTAGCTTGCATCTTCACGAAAAGCTACTTGGCTTTCAAGAACGATGCCACAGAGATACTTTATTCACACGTTGTTAAACCTGCTGCAGCGAGCCCAAGCAGCAATAGCACGTTGAATCAAGCCAGGAATGGAGGCAGGCACTACACCAGCACTGGATCCGACCGTAACAGTGAGTATCCTACCGGCGGCATTTCCACCGCGTCCCGCAGCCCTCGGCCCTCCGGCGACGGCG